ATTTTGTATTGGATGATTTCATAAGTTCATTAATATCTTATCTTGGCCATTACAGGGGAACATCGAAGGAACTTCGCCAGAGTTATTAAACTCAACCCTTCACATAGAAACTCATGTTGATTATCGGTCATCCGGATTGGTGTGTGTCAAAAATGAAATTTATTTCATGTTATAGTGATTGTTCAATTGAATTTGCTTTATTTAAAGTGTGATATGCAATTCATTTGAATTTATTTGTGGGATTGATATACTGTTTATGCAGTTTATGTTATTTAAAATGGCAGTAAAGTCATTTGTCAAAACTCATGTAATTGTTGCCCTTTGCAGCCATCAACATTGGGTACCACTGGTTTTGTGTCATTGTTGACATCACTTGACAGTAATGTTGATGACACACAATTGTCTTCCTCAACTAAATGGTTTGGAAACATTGTTTTTTAATGAAATACTTTGTCAACAATGAATATTACATTAGTTTAGAATTGCATGACGTTGATGTATACTAATGATTTCTTCTTCAACTTGCAGGACATAAGTGTTAATATAACAATGTTGATTGACGAGTGTTTTTTTTTATTCAATGTCTTGTTGGCTGGATAACGTCATCAGTAGTGCAGACCATACATTCTGATTTTGTTAGAGTATATATGATAGGACATAGACGTGCAACAGCAGTGTAAACTATACATTCTGATTTTGTTAGAGTATATATGATAGGACATAGACGTGCAACAGTAGTGTAGACTATACAATCTGATCCTGTAAGAGTTGTGGATGTAAATATAACAATGTAACAGCAATTTTAATTTCTTCAATGCATTTATAAGCAGTTGATGGTCCATACATTTACGTAACAATCATCGGTTCTATATTAGGTCGAATGAAAGACATGTAATAAAAATCACACTGCATGATAACAGCAAACTACCTTAAAAAAGAGCAAACCTAATTGTAGACATTTCAGTATATAACAAACCAATAATATTAAAATAGTTTCGAGACTTTAAATTGGGAATTTAGATAATTTTAAAGCAAACCTAGTTTTTGGACCAAATAAGCAAACCAAATATTAAACAATTTTTTTTTAAATTGGGACTTTAGATAGCGGTTCTGAAACCGCTATCTAAACCTACTAAAAAGAGCGGTTCTAGAAATAACCACTATTAAAAGTATATTTTAGATAGCGGTTAACATGGAGCCGCTATTATATGTTCACTTTTAAGAGCGGTTAAAATATTAACCGCTCTGCAAAGTCAATCAAATGTCGCTCGAGCGAGAATATAGTCGCTCAAGCGAAACACAACCCGAGAATCCCCATTCTATCGAGTGGCTTCGCTCGAGCGTCGATAAAGTCGCTTGAGCGATTTTAGAAAAATGAGAGCATATGATCGACTATTATAGGTTATAGTCGATTATTCACAGACCTTAGATAGTGGTTAACGTTTAACCGCTATCTAATGTATATTTTTAAAAGCGGTTCTTATTAACCGCTATGTAAGGTCGCTTCGGGTTCAGTCGCGCTCAAGCGACTCTGTAATCGCTTGAGCTACAGTTGAATCTTATATGTGGTCAACCAAAATTTATTAGATGGCTAACTGCGTAGGACGTTTCGTCCGTGGTTCACCGACCGCTCAAGCGAGGATGACATCCCTTGAGCGATGGAACCTTAACCAAAAGGGACCATCGGGTTCTATCTCGCTCAAGCGATGTTTTTACCGCTTGAGCGAAAAGTGATTCTAATAAG